TGAACCAAAAAGATCACGCTCCTTAAACACGGCTCCAAAATCAAACACATAGAACCACCATAGAACCAATTCCATCAAGACCCAAATTACCAAAATACCCTTAGAAGTCAAACTTTGTCAATCATGGTCAAAGTCAACAGTCCATGTTGACCCAACTCGTCGAGTGCATCTAGCAACTCGTCGAGTTCCTTAGTGCTTCAGAAAACGGGGAAAAACCCTAGTCAACTCGCTAAGTCAGAAGGACAACTCATCGAGTTCCTTCAGTATCTAGAAAATGGGAAAACCTGACCCAACTCGTTGAGTTGGCTTAGCAACTCGTCGAGTTTTCCTATCTTAACGTATTTATCCATTTCCAATCGAATCCAAGGCCCTAAACTATAGATCTAGCCCCTTAGGACTGAGATACCACGTAAAGTTGCTAACTTTACGTGCATGCAAGGCATCAAAGGGATTTAAACACTAAAACTAAGCTTAATAAGAGGTTTAGGGCATGGAGGAGGGCCAAGACTAGATAAAGTGGGTAACTTTATGTTCATGGAGGCCTAGAGGTGTCCAGATCTGAAACCACATCCTCTTAACATGCTCAAGCCCCGAGAATGACTCCATTTTGCACCAAAAATGACCATATACATGAAGGGTTTTGCGCACTCTAACAACCGTATGGTGCACATGCAACCCTAGATGCTTTGGATCTAAGTTTTCTCTAATTATACATGCAATTTTCATTTTCCAAAGCATTCATCCTAACTATCATACAAAGCATAGGTACTTGAATAACAAAACTAGTTAGATGACTTACCTTTTGTTGTATCTTGTTAACTTGGACCTTTAAGAGCCTAGCACATGCTCTTAACAAGCTCAAGTCCCGAGAATGACTCCATTTTGCACCAAAAATGACCATATACATGAAGGGTTTTGAGCACTCTAACAACCGTATGGTGCACATGCACCCCAAATGTGATGCCTCAAATGCTTCACAAAACACCACCAACAATGGAGGACTTGAGAGAGTATGACTAGCACAAAATCGGCTACGACTCTTCTAAAGATCACATAGGCCGATTTTAGGGGCTAAGGGACTCCTTTTATAGTGTGGTAAAGATTAGGGTTACAACCATGTAACCGCTATTGCACATGACCTTTCATATTACTTAGGCTCCATGGGTTAAACCTCCATGGACTATCATGTTGGTTTAGCCTAAACTAAATAACCATTGGCCCACACTATAAGAATAATTGATTTACTAAATGAGTCCCTATATATTTAATTAGTCTCTTTTGATCACTACCGCTTTTCGCAATTGGTATTGTCTTCCTAGAGCCTTTCTCTCTGTATTCTGTTCTTTAAACCCTCAAACCTTCATCAATGGTGTCTTCTCAAACTGGTCCCAAAGTTTCCAAACCTTCATCAAAGAAGAAATCTTCAAAGGGTTCCACCTCATCTTCATCCACAAAGTTCATCCTCAAAGAAACAACTAGACTATTTTCTCTTGATCCTATGGATTATGATGAATCCATTCGCATCATGATCGAATTCATCTCCCACCAGCTAATCACAGTTACCCTCACCAAAACCCCTAACCCTAAACTTCCTCTTCGTATTCTTCACAAAGCGTTTGAATGAATCAAGATTGAAGATGGTGTACTAGAAGTGAAGATTGTTGATGATAAAAATTTTCCTCTGCACAAGAATACCTTTCTTAAAGCCATCAGCATTGCAGAAAACCCTAAAGGTTTTCGTGTTCATGAACCAACAACTAAAGAGTTTCAGTTGTTTCTGAATCAAATTGGGTATAATGGAGAATTCAAGGAAAAGGAGTTCAAGAAGTCTGTTGTTCCTGGACTATGGATCGTACTGATGCACTTATTCCTTTGAGGATTGTCTGAAAAACATGGTGGTACAGAAACTATGAGCAAGGACTGGCTGTATGTTGTGTATAGCATCTTCTCCGGAAGATACAATGTAGTTAACCTAACCAAGGTGCTATGTTAAGACTTTCGGAAATTTGTTGTCAAGAGGAAGCCCAATGAGACTTCTAGTCTGATATTTTGGGCACTGACGCTTTAACAACTGTGCTTTGAGTAACACAAATCCATTCCTCTCAACTCGGATCTCAAAGAGGTATATTGTTCCTTTAAATCTATAAAAACTTATAGGTATCTGAACCATTCTGCTTTCAAACCTATCAGACATTTTCCAGAACATATGTTAGCCACAGTTCCATCCGACCCACCATATCTCAAACATCATTATGAGATTTCGGTTGTGTTCAACCCAACACAAGCTACCCCAATCTCGGATGATCCAGCCTCAGATGTGAACAAAGCAGCTTCTTCAGGAGGACGTAAGAAGGAGATGGCCAAACGAAAGAAATCACCCTATAAAATCTGAGCCAAAAATAGAACCAAACCCAATGAATCATCTCAATAGGATTCACAAATTGGCATTCGATCTCACTCTGGATCACCACCTACCCCTCCTATCCACTCTTCCGAAGTACCCTTCGGAGTTTCAATATCACATGCACACAATCATAGGGAGTATGCACATAATCTAACCCCATCTTCAGGAAAATATGGTGCATGTATTGAACATAGTCCCTTGAAGCCTCTTAGGACACACCCACAAGTGTTTTCGGAATCCCCTCTCATATCTTCACAAGTACAATCAGGGGACCTTCCTCTAATTCTAAGCTTTTCGAAGCTGGAGCAGTCCCTCCTACTTCGAAAGCCACAATCGGTCTGATACTTGGTTAAGGTAAAGGACGGTCGGGTATATTTGACAACGATTGTTCTGATTTTATTCACAGTGCTCATACCAAGCGTCTGGAGCTCACCAAAGCATATGTTGAGACAGGAATTGCCAACAAGTCTCTAGCCATCAAAGATAATATAGGAAATCGTTGACTATTTACCTTCCACCATAACAAGATATCAAACTTATCGACATCTTCTTCAACATCTTCTTTCAAAAACTTCTATAACTCACTATTGGAATCCATTATTCCACTCACTTACATTTTCAACTTCTCCCTCAATTTATTTCTTATCGTGGATTTTGAACTTGTATCATCATATACAGAACGCATCCCTAAGACTGATGAAGAAGTAGATGTGGTTGAAGAACTTTGATCAAGAATTCTCACATATTCATGATATTCTTCGAGAGTATCCTCTACAATTTTTTTTTTTCATTTACTCCCCCCCTTAAGTTGCCCATATACATCATTAAGTAAAATACTCATTTAAACAAGTTTGTTCCTTGGATCAATAACCGAAGCAATGTATAATAACATGTTTGTTTTTCTTATGTCACCAATGTACTTTTCAAATTTTTCTTTCATTATTTTTGCCATCTTAGAAAGACCCTCATCATTAGTATCAGTGGTACAAGATTTCAATAACACAAGAATTGTGACTATATCATCGATAAGAGTGTATGATTTCACATAAAGTGTCCTAGATACCTTTAAAGTAACATCATAAAATTGTTTTAGAAGCCGAGCTAACTTTCTTGCATTTTCCCAATCAAGTGATTTAGGAACTTTTAATCCCACCTTTTGAGGATCACCACCAAAATGCCTATCCTCACGATCATATCTATTAAAATCCCTTCCATACAATTGCACTGTTTCTAACATCAAATAGGTGGAACGCCACATTTTTGGGACATCTAATACCAAACTTTTTGTGCTACCACATTTGTCCATTTCTGCATATTTTTGAAGTTAACTATTCTTAATGAAGATTGTCAAACCCACTCAACAGCACCTCTAACATTGTTAACCAGTTGACTTATAAATCCAATGCCATCAAGTACAACCAACTTTAAAATGTGGGTTACCTATCGTATGTGAGTCCATTTTCCTTTCAAAACACACTTGTCCCAATTCGCAAATATTTTTTTTTGAAGTAGTCAATTGCGACATCATTATAATTAGCATTGTCAACAGAGATTTTCAAAACATTATCAATTCCCCATTCTAACAAATGGGTCTCAATTGATTTCCCAATCTCAACGCCTCGGTCACTTGCTAAAAAGGAAAAATTTAAGACTTTTTTCCTTTACTTCCATTCATTATCAATAAAGTGAGCAGTAAGACTCATATAACTTATTTTTTGCGTAAACGTCCAACCATCCATAGTGAGACATATCCTACCTATGTTTGTTTTAAGTATATCATGAACTTCTTTCTTTTTATCAAGAAACATCTGATACACATCCTTAGTGACAGTAACTCTACATGGAATATGAAACAGTGGTTCAGACACAGTAGAATAATACCTAAATCCTTTACCCTCCACAAAATTAAAAGGGAGCTCATCTACAATGATCCTGTGAGCTAATGCATCCTTGTTTAATTTTTGGTTAAATTTCCATGCAAGCATTTTTTTTCATCACCAACACTTTGAAATGCAATTTGTGTTTGATCACTGATCAAATTTTTCCTGATAAATAGCATATTTTCCTAAATGAGTTCGAATAGTACTTGTACCCTTTGTTGTCGAAGTAGAGTATGTGGTTCCACAATGTATGCATTTTCTCTTTTCAACACCATTACCATCTATGAAATCATCAAAATGACGCCAAAACTTAGCTCTCTTTTTGGTCTCTCTTCGTTTAACTTGTGGTTGTAAATTGTTTTGTTCTTCATTATTGTTGCTTTCAAGATCGACCACTTCTATATCCTCCCCGACCATTACATCTTCAATATTGGATTCAATACCAGACATCATAGAGATTCTGAAAAAAATGATTACTAGATTAGGGTTTAGCAGGAGACCTTTTTGAACATAAAGAAAACACAAATTAATTTTTAGCATCATAATTTTGGTACCTTATTGTTCCAAAATTCATATAGACTTGTTGTTTTGAAGGCTTGAAACTTAAAATCGTAAACCAGAAAGCAGAAGAAGTGGGGAAATTTGAAATTGTCAAAAATTTGGTGTGGTGCAATATCTAAACTGAAATTCAAGATCTGATAGTAATGGTAGTAAAGATGAAGATGTATGGTCCAATAGGTATAAGTCATGTCAGCATAGAGCATGGAGGTAGAGATGAAGAGGCTTGGTCGAATGACTTAATTTGTAGCTTGGCTAGATTTCTTTGGTTTGAAGTTAATAAAGAGAAAAAATAGTCTAGTCTGTAGCTTGTGACCATACAAACGAGGATAATTCTAAAAAGTAGAATTGACCATAAATTGCAAATTGACTAGTTTTACACTAATTAATAAGTTTCGTAAATAATTTAGGTATTTAATGTATGAAATTAGTAATAATAATATTATATATATATATATATATATATATATATATATATATAAAATAAAAATATATTAATTTAAAAGTTATTCGGTTTAACCAAATTTATAAAAATTTAACAAAAACCAAACCAAATAAAATTATGCGTGTTCGGTTAACCAAACAAAATAAACCAAACATCGTTTGGTCGGTTAGGTTATTCGGTTTTGGTTTTCTCTCCCACCCCTAACTACAGGAGATGTTCCCGATCCTACATATGTTTCTAATGATCCTCGCCCGACGTTCACAAGCAAAAATGATCGTAAGCGTCCTACTGACGAGGATGTCTCAGATGATGTAATGTTCGAAGATGACAACACCATTGTTGGTGTTACTCCAATCCTCACATCCTTCAACATGTTGCAGAAGCCCTCCTCCTCGAAACCGACTTATGATTTCGGTCTTTTCTCATCCTCCGAGGAATCCGAAGAACGAGAAGATGCTGAAGCCAACAAGCACCCATATCCCATAGTTATCTTGGAATAGGGGAAGAAAGTGAAAGAGAAAGAAAAATTTAATGGAAACCTATCTCGGATTTCATGCCCCGAGTTGAATCAACCGATAATGATATTCTTGTGGTCGAAACACGTGAACCTCTTGAATTAAACGATGAAGAAGATGAAGACTTACCTACAAATGTGATTATAGGACTTCAAGCCATTAGGGAACAACCTGTGCATGTCCTTTCGGAAGCAGATAAGATGAAATGGTCCTCCGTTTCTTGGCCATCATCTTTACCAGAAGCCTTCCAGAGGAGTTGAGACATGGCAAAGCTCAAGACCAAGCTAACTATTGATGCATTCAGAGCTACTCAGCCCATGGTTCCACCAATTCCTGCTCCGAGGATAGTTCAAAATGATGAAGGTTCTCCCACACGGAAACCAGATGACATCCTTGAAGAGCTTCTGATTCCTCCTCCATCTGAATTTTTCATCACCAAATTCGATCATCAAATCATCTCCTCTACTTTTGACACAAGTGAAAATCCTCAAGACAAAGAAAAACAGATTGCAACAAACTTAGATATCCCAGTGAAGACGCTTAAAAAATCTTAGGGCTGGTCTCAAGAACAAATCAATCAAGCTTTGGAAGAAAGCATTCAGATTCAAGCGCTTAAAAACAATCTGAATATGATGTTAGGCATTTCTCTTATTTTCAATAAGGATTTATTCATGATAGACACGCTATGCCCTTCATGTACTATGATTTTCCGACACAAGATGCTGATAAACTTGACCTGCCAATCTCTCCTCATGGTCATTTCGATATCAAGTACGCTCCTGTACATCTGAATGATGATCCTCAAATTACCATAAAAAAAGAGCGTGAGAGATTAAGAACCTTTTATGCCATCAACACATAACTCCAAAAGGAAGTGTGGTCTCAGAAGAGGATGACCAAGATCATCGGATATGCTAACAAGATTCAAAGCAAGTTTAATCTCAATTACATGTTGTACAAATACTATCTTTCTCGAAACGAAGAAGCCACCATCACCATCACGGATGCAGACTTTCCTTCGATCAACCCAAACGACATTTTCACCATAGTTGCTCACTTCCGAGATCGCCAATCAAGTGAAACAAGCATTGGAGCCTACAGTGCTGTAATAAATTTCTTGAAAGACTATATTCCTGAATTTTGTAGATCTGAAGTTGAATTTGCTTATCTATTCAGAACAGAGAATATTTTGGCAAAAATCACTACTCAGCTTCCTGAAGGACAAATCTTAGCAGAAGCCCCCACTGAGGAATTTATAGAAATCGGTTATGTCTATCTCAAAAAGAATACTAATCGACAAGAATTCTTTAGAGTTCTTGACAAACACCTTGTTCCATCAAAGATCCTTCAGAAGTTCATTTCTAATGTTGCCAAGAGTGTTTCACCCGAGCATGTTAAGAAGAAGTTTATTGAGCATCTCAGATGGTACTTAGAAGTCCGAAGCTAGCTCCATATTTATCACACCCCAAACCTAAATAGCGGAAACATTCGGGGCCAAGGACATCATGTCAAGTATCATAACAAATGAATAGTAAATAAAGTACGCACAACCATCATATATTTAATTGAAAAGTTTACATGATTGTAGTATTACATGTTTGCAAAAATCAATTACATTTTGATGTTCAAAAGATTAAACTAACGCCTGGGCGTAAGTCTTCAAAAGTAGTTGCTAACCCTATTTAATGATTCCTGAGAATACAAGTTATTTCAAAGAAAAAGTGTCAACATTTAAGTTGGTGAGTTCACAAGAAGTTCATTTGAATGATTGTATGCCATTTGAAAAGTCCGCGTTTGATTTCAGAAAATCCGATATTTTCTTAAGAATGATGTTGTAAAATCGTAGTTAATAAATGAATGTATTTGAACTAGAAAAATCCTATATTTTCCTATAAGTGAGATTCAGTCTTAGATGATCAAGACTGTAACCTGTAAGCAAATATTGATGGGTTTTGGCCATAAGAACATCCTATGTGCTCATGCAAACCCTAATGCTTGGATCTAGGTTTCTCTATTGTACATGCAATTCATCCAAGACTTTAAACCCTAGATCTAGCATACAATTAATCATATTAACATATGAATGGGGTTTAGATATTACCTTGATTATTATGTAGCAATAACAATATCAAATCCTCCTTGTAATGAATTTAGAAAGCTTAGAGTCACAAGTGTCACTCCTCTAATGGCTTACAAACACCACGAGCAAGAGGATGAAGAATAAGGAGAGAGGAGGCTGCCCAAAACGTCCAGAAACCCTATTGGAACTCTTAGCCACGTTTTTTGGTCTTAAGGGTACTATATATACATGTAGGCTATTAGGGTTTTCAACTAGGAAACCCTAATCTGACTGCTTAAGCCCTAAGCAGCCCATGGACCCTTTTAGAATATCCCTTGGACGATTTCTAATGGGTTTCCCCATAGAATTCATCCAACCTATTATTCCAAGGTGATCCATAGCCCAAATGCAATTATCTTATAATTACAGTTCCAGTCCCTTAAGTTTAATTAATCTCTTTTAGCCACAAAATTAATTATCAATTAATTCTTGACTAATATTAATTAAAAAAATATGATTTCTCCTTTAATATATTATTCTCATAATATATTAATAAATCATAATTAATCCTTTCTCTCCATAATTCATTCTATCAAGTTGCTTTGGTGAAGGCAACCCAAAAGGACTATGCACCATCGGGTCAACTACATACCAAAATAGTTATGGACTTAGACACTAATCCAACAGTCTCCCACTTGGATAAGTCTAATAACTATTCTGCGTATGACTTCAGATCCTGATCTGCAATCGTAGCTTTCAAAAGGCGTTGTCAACTCTGATCTTATCAGATACGCGTGTCCTTTAGATAAGGGATCATATATTCCTCCATTCTAGATATCGTATAGATGCGAGACATGAATTCGAATCATTCTCTCTATACTGTTTCCCGACTTCCAATTTAGGACGACTAACAACAGACTACAATTGAACACATCAAATTAGTCCCGGCTTGGCCAAGCGCTTATGTGCCATCACTAAATCATCGAGGGGACCAAAGATATCGCTTTCACCCTACTTTGGATAAAAGGAACGGATAAAATTTGATTCAATGCTTGCTTTCACTCACTCACCGAATCACACACAACAATATGTTTTATGACACCAAGTTACTGGTGCGTTTACATATTATCAATGTGCAACCGATTCGCAAGATACAATTCACACATTTCGGTTTCAAGAATATAAGATATTATTGTCTCACCAATCACTCGTGATATAATTCATGAAGTGATCCAAGTGAGCGTTAGTTTAATCCAATGCTCAAATCATATTCATAAGCCCTCATGAATGTTGCAGCAAACATTTGCTTATGTCTAATACACTTTAGACAATCCACACACCAATTCACAATAGTCTTCATTCATACCTACTTCCAACATATGAACGATTGTGGTCCGTTCGAATAATTTGATTATTCTGAAATAATTAATTATTCGAGAAGTCAAAAAATGCAAAATGAAACACAAGAATAATACTAATCCCATATGGCCCCAAACTCTGGGTATAAATAAAACATTTTATTTAATCACCATATTGATTACTCATTATTTTTTGTTTCGGGTAATCAACTTCTTACTTGAATTATTACTACACTTGTCCCATGCTCTTAGCATGCACACAATGTTTACCTACGGTCCTTACTTTGTGAAATAGATCAAATGAACACATTTCCAATCGTACTCATTTCACAACTTCCAATCCTTATCACAAGTGTAAGAATCAAATTCTTGCCACTCATAGAATACGCTAGATTCTAAAATTTTATGCAATGATCCTTTCGTAAAGTCATAGTGCAAAATTCACAATGACTATTGCCAATGAAATTATAAAATTCTTTATTGGAGATTGTTAAAGACAATTCCATAGACGTGATGTCTCTCACTCAAAGTACATTCCTTGAACATCCTTTTGCATAAAATTTTCTAATCTAGACACAGACTCTCAATATCCAACTCCCAATATGGAAACATTTCCATATTTGCCATATACCAACTCATTCTTAATAGAATCTTATCTATTCATAATAATGTCGATATGGTCCATCCAATACCATACTTACAACTACTCACAAGCGACCAATCCTTAGCGAACTTTGGATCGTCATTTGATAGTTGTTTAATTATCTTAGTCAAAACTGATTCTAGTCTTTTTTCACTCTTAATGTGCTAGACATTTGGAAAATTTTAGAATGGTCAAATATTATAGCATTTGCAATCGATCCTTTACCCAAAGTGTATGGGACACGATGCATAATGTCTTACATAAAGATCTGATACTTTATCAATCTTCTGCCATAATATTTAATGTGTCACATTCTCACCATTCGAACTATGAAGAGGGATGCCATAGTCATAATCAAAATTTGAGAACACACTATGTATCGTTGACTAATATTATTAACATTCCACAACCTAAGCCTTTAGATTTGAAATGAAGCATAATATTCTCTCCCTTAATTATAGCAAAACAACTATTCAACCCTTACGACTTTGCAAAGTATAACTCTTGTTTTCTATAATTAATATTGCTAACTTGCAATACTTGCCTTAATAATCATACAAGCACAACATTTATGCTCCCACTATCATGATGATTATTATCATATAAGCATAACACTTATGCTCCCACTAGCTTTGACATGTATTCAGAAAACAGCTTAACTTTTAGAAAAACAATACCTATTGAATTTATTAAGCTTATATTTCTAATACCAGATGCTTTGATAATCTTTTATCTAATCTTCTTAATCTTGTACATCTTTTCCTTAGATAGCTCATATGTGTGTCTAAACAATTCAGACTAATTGCCAAATCTCACAATTCAAATCATGGAAAGGGATACCGTAACCATAATCGAATTCTAGAATACCATTTTCACAATCACCATCTTCTATAAATCTGTCTTTGTGAAAGCATTTCCTCACCGT